TTTATCTATAATATTTTACCCCTTTTCGGCCTACGTGGCACTATCCTTGAAAATTTTGTCAACATGTGTTGGGCCCACAAGATAGTGCCACGTAGGCCAAAAAGGAGTAGAATATTACATATAAAATAAGTTCGGGGGGGGGGGGTAATAGGACCTTAGTAAAGGTTAGGTGTGTCTTTGGGATTTCGCGCATAGGCTGGGGTGGTACTTATGCATTTTCCCTTAATTTAAATACAAATACCTACCCAAATATAAATATATATTTGCATTAATGAAAATATTTATATCATAAAATTAGCTATTAAATAAATAATAAAAATTAAACTAATACAAACTTCAATTGGCGTTATTACAAGTCATATGAACTTTTCTTCGTCCAAAATACTGAAATATTAAGAAATAGTAAATAAGTAAAACAAAAGGACAATGTTTATATAGTAATAACTATTTTGAAGCAAACTTCCTGAGAGTCTAAATCACATAAATATCATTGATAAATAAAGTCATTCTTTTGTCTTGAGCATAAAAAACAAATCGTGACAATTCTCTAAATTTTGGAAAAAGATATTCAGAAGCATATATCTACATCACAAGAGAAATTGTTAACAAAAACAAATGAATTTAGACTACATCATGTTAACTTCGTATATTGGAACATTACATACTAATGTATATATTAAGCGAAAAAATAATTATTATATCATCAAAATTATTTTTCTCAAGTACTCGAGGTTATGGAATATACCCTCTTAGGATAGAATGACTTACTTCATCAGAACAGTGGTACCTCATATTCCGCTAAACTTCAAACTCACTTAACGACAATAAATCACAAAAAAAAAAAAAAAAAAATACAAGAAGAAGATTAAAAAAATTGTGGTGGAAAATTGAGCGGGAGCCCCTCTATTTATAGTCAACAAAGGGTAGTATGAACAAATGTTTTCTATGTCTTATCTGAAAAGTCATGATTTTTTGGAGAAGTCACAGCCCTTTGGAAAAATCACAACTTATTGAAAAAGTCACAACTCTTTGGAAAAATCATAACCCTTTGAAAAAGTCACAACTCTTTGGAAAAGTCACAACTTATCGAAAAATCACAACCCTTTGAAAGAGTCACAACTCATCGAAAAATCACAGCCCTTTGAAAAAAGTCACAACTCATCGAAAAAGTCACAACCTAAGTTAGGGATATTATAGCAATTTAACATTCAAGTTAGGAGTTCATGCTTTTAAGGTAATATAGATAGATAGATATAGATATATGATGATACATAATGATAGTATGATTAGTAATACTCCCTCTGTCCCATTTTATATGAGGTACTTTGACTCGGCACGAAGTTTAAGAAAGAAAGGAAGACTTTTAAAACTTGTGGTCCAAAATGAATGATATAAATTTGTGTGGTTGTAAATCATTTCATTAAGGGTAAAATAGATATTTTATAGTTAGATTGTTACTTTATATAAAAATGTGTCATTCTTTTTGGGACTGACTAAAAAGGAAAGTGAGTCATATAAATTGGGACAGAGGGAGTATATGATATGATGATATATGATATGATTATGGGAAAATTGTATATAATAGCAAATTATTAATTCAAATTAAATGTTATAAATATAGTTTGATTTAATTGTACCTCATAGCAAACTATTGCTATTTCACCTCTCTCCTGGTGAATCTCGCTCGCCACTCTCGTTCTCTCCCTCGCCTCTCTCGTTTTTTATACAAACGCAAGTGTATAAAGTGTGTTTGTGTTTGTATAAAGCGAGAGAAAATTGTATATATACATATATTTTCGTTCCCCTCTCTCCTCTCTCCCCTCTCCCAGATCTCGCTCGCTCACTCGCCTCTCTTACTTTATACAATTGATTTTTTTGTATATGTATACCAAAACAGATTATACAATTGCTTTCTTTTGTATATGTATAGCGAAATATACATATTTATGTTTGCTATGAAGCGCAATTATACAAACTTTGTTATATCATACAAATATAAATTTTGTGTTTGCTATATATGAAAGTTGCTCTATGATTATTATTAGGGGCGAGTCTACTAACTAAGGCATGTAGAGGTGCCACGTCACCTGCAAATTTCAATCGAAATCTGATGTGTATATTGATAAATAAACAAATGGCACCTAGAGAATCAAAATGTATCATGGTGCCATTATCATGGACGGATCTATTCAGGCCCATGGAGGTACCATGCCACCCGCAAGTTCCCATTGAAATTTGATGTATATATATATATAATAAGCCACAATGCAAATATATATAAAGTATTTAGTTACATTGTAACTATCTTGTTAGCTTTCAATCAAAAGCTAACAAGATTTTTAGTTACATATTTATTATTTAGTTAAATAATAAATATGTCATTGTATGAGCTATTTATTACTCATTCCTTTTGAATTTGTTAATCTGATTTTGATCTGACACATAGTTTACGAAAGTAAATTAGGTTTTGAGAAAAAACATTATTTACGAAAGTAAATTAGATTTTGAGGAAAAACATTAAATGATACTTGAAGTTGTCCCAGATTTTCAAAAAGACGCCTTAACTTTGCGTGCGTCCTATTACCCCACAAAACATTCAAAATCACAATAAATTCACATTTTTACACAATATTTCCACTTTGGACAAAAATATCCTTCAAATGTGCAATTTCTTAAAAACAAAAAGTCGGACCCATTATTGATGTATTGAAGGATGCTTTGGTAATTTCCTATGATGAATTCGTTTTGTTTGTTTCTTTTAAATTTATTTTACTATACTAAATAATTGTATAAAATATTATGAATCACGATAATTAATTACTTAAATATTTAAAAGATACAAAAATATATAAAAGATCTGATTGACTCTTCAAATTTTACTGGTGACACATAAATTGAGACAAATGAAATAATATATATTATTTGAAAATTTCTTAGAAAGTACTATAAATTACAGTAATTAACAACTACAAATATTTCAAAGACAAAAAAAATTGATTGAATCTCAAATTTTTTTTAGTACTATATAAATTGAGAAAGAAGAAATGACCTCTATTATTTGAAAATGACGTAAAAATATTACAAATCATACAATAAGAATTAACAATTTAAAATTTTAAAAGACTAATGCTTTATACTTATTCTATTTCCACTTTGGACAAAAATATCCCAATATGCATATTTTTTTAAGCAAAAAGTGGGACCCATTATTGATGTATTCAAGGATGCTTTGGTAATTTTCCTATAATGAATTCGTTTTGTTTGTTGTTTATTTTTTGTTAAATAATTGTATAAAATATTATAAATCACAATAATTATTTACTTAAATATTCAAAAGATATAAAAATATGTAAAAGATCTGATTAACTCTTCATATTTTATCGGTGACACATAAATTGGACAAATGAAATAATATATATTATTTGAAAATTACTTAGAAAATACAATAATTTACAGTAATTAACAATAGAATATTTTAAAGACAAAAAAATTGATTGAATCTCAAAATTTTATTAGTACCACATAAATTGAGAAAGAAGAAATAACCTTTATTATTTCAAAATTGCGTAAAAGATATTACAAAATTTAGAATGTTAAAAGACATAAAATTTTTTTTTTTACCATAGTTAACAATAATTAAAAATTTAAACTATTTTAAATTAATATTAAATTTGATTAACTCTTTAATTTTGTCTTTGTTAAATAAATTGAAACAAAAAATGATATATATTGGGCCCGAGCTAACACGGGCTCCGATGTCTAGCAAGTGTATATATATGTAAGATGTAGATAAATAAATAAATGACACTCAAAGAACCAAAAGGTACCATGGTGCCACTGGCAAAGGATAAAACTCCCTTCTATCAGATTCGATTTCGATTTGGCGATGATTTATTTTTTAAAAAAAATAACTTTCACCTTCAAATAGATATCGAATTCAGGTTCAACAATGTTTTAAAGATTATACTTTCTTTATTTTTCTAGTTGACTTAGTTTTAATCAATAACTATGTGATTTACACATGTGTATTACATTAATTGAATATTAAAAAATTGTTATGTGTATATTCACAAGTACAATTTTTTTTAAAAACTAACATCAAATTTAAAGAGGAACATGATAAGTTACGATCATACAAATAATAAATATAGTAAACAAAATTTTATTGATATTAATATATGAAAATAAATTCTAAACAATAACTATATACATATGAATATAATAATATACCACAAATATTATGAAATCTTTTAGTTAATGGATAAATTTTTATTGATAGACAAGATATTCACACGAAAAATGGTATGTCTCTTCACTTAACTCCAAATTTGTTGAGTGTTAGCATGCCTTTACAACAAAAGTATCATTACAATCATTTATAGAAAATACGTATATTTAAAACAAACAATAATAATTGAATTTTCAAAATTTTCGAAATAAAATCCACCTACATATGTTCAAAATTATGTTTAAATTTTAGAGTTCTAAAAATAATTGACTTTAGAACAAACTTTATTTTTCTTTTCGATTTTGGAATTAACTCTAGAAATCTTACTTTGTTTTATATCATATATTTATTGATTGATTTTCAAAAAATAAGGTGCTTTTGTTAAAAAAATTCGATGTTGTTATACTTGCACAATATTGTGGATATTTATTAAATATATTAATTTTGACAATTCAAAATATTTAAAAGCTATATGAAAAATTTATGGTCAAATATAGACTTGATTGAATCTCCAAATTTGAAATATGTCACATAAGGTTTAGAGATATTTTTAATACTTTTCTTGATTTTTTATTATGAGTCTCAAGCTCTTAAAAGAGTTTGAGAGCACTTGTTATGTCATTTAGTAGATCGGAGAAACATTTAAATTCAGTTAATCTAGAGAGTATTTTTATTTCTTAAGATGGTTAATAATTCGGAAATGAAACTAATATTTCTAGCCACGTTGGTGTTTTTAATATTCTGTCATTAAACAATAGAAAAGTTGTAATTCCCTTTTCAGGAATTATCTGAAGAAAATATATGGATTTGTGAAACACCCGCCCAAACGGATAATTTGTTGAGCTCTGGCAGCCATAGCCATGGCTTTCTCTTTGTTCACAACTACATCAACCTTCTCTGTCTCTCTTCGCTGTCAAGCTCGACCCAATAGCAGTCGCAATAGAACCAACCCAAAGCGCCTGTCTACAAACACAAACAGAAGAAGTCAAAAACCCAACCCCCCTCAACGGAAATCCGGCGAGTTTAGGCCACCATCGCCAATTACCACCGCTGCCGGTGATACTGCCACTACCTTCACTCGTCTACCCCCAAAAGATGACTTTTTTCTTCCATCCCTCCAAGATTCAACTGAAATAACCCTCTCTGAGTTAACTATTCCCACCCCAGCTAAGAATCCTAAGCAAGAGTTGGATGATGAGAATGTAGAGAATGTTAGGTTTGATTATGGAAAATTTGAGTTGTACGAGGTTGATGATGATTTTGAGGATGAGAGCGAGGATGATTTTGATGAAAATGATGATGTGGATGGTGAAATGGAAGGTACTGGAAGTAGGGTGTTTGAGGGTAGTGGGAAATTTGAGCTGTATGAAGTTAACGATGAGTTTGATGAAGATGATGATGATGATGATGATGATGTGGGCATTGAAATGGAAGGTTCTACAAGTGGGGTTTTTGAGGGCGGTGATGTGTTTGAAGGGGAAGGGAGCGATATAAAGGAGAAGGAGAAAGGGGTTCCAGCAGTAATGAGGTGTTTCGATAGGGCAAAAATATATGTAAAAGCAGGGGATGGAGGGAATGGGGTGGTGGCATTTAGGAGGGAGAAGTTTGTACCATTGGGTGGACCATCTGGTGGTGATGGAGGGAGGGGAGGGAATGTGTATGTGGAGGTAGATGGGTCGATGAATTCATTGTTGCCATTTAGGCAGAGTGTGCATATTAAAGCTGGGAGAGGAGGGCATGGTCATGGAAAGAAGCAATTTGGGGCAAAAGGCGAGGATGTAGTGGTAAAGGTGCCACCAGGTACTGTCATTAGGGAGGCCGGAGAGGGTGGAATTCAAGGGAATGTACTTCTCGAGTTGTTGCATCCAGGACAGAAGGCATTGCTATTGCCTGGTGGAAGAGGTGGGAGAGGGAACGCATCTTTTAAGACAGGGTTGAATAGGGTGCCCAAGATTGCGGAGAATGGAGAAGAAGGTCCGGAGATGTGAGTATCTCCAATGAGTATCGTTTCTGCTCTTTACACTTCGTAATTTTTTGTTGCATCTTTCGTGTTCATTCATCATTTAACTATATTGCAGCATGGTATTAGAATGTCGTGACTAGGAAAAATGATCGAAACCTCTCATTTGTGCTGTGTCTATTAAGTTGTCATCCTTAATTTCGAATCCTAATTAAGCTAGGACTATATCCTGGTCAGATTTCTTTCACGTTCCATTCTTTATGTATCTTGCAAGTAATAGTCCTATTGACCAGGTGGTTAGACTTGGAGCTCAAGTTGGTTGCTGATGTTGGTATAGTCGGAGCGCCAAATGCAGGGAAAAGTACATTTCTCAGTGTTATAAGTGCTGCTCAGCCAGCTATTGCGAATTACCCCTTTACCACTTTGCTCCCAAATTTAGGCGTAGTTTCATTTGATTATGATGCTACTGTGGTCGTTGCTGATCTGCCTGGTCTACTCGAAGGGGCACACCGAGGTTTTGGTTTAGGCCATGAGTTTCTTCGGCACTCAGAAAGATGTTCAGTCCTGGTACAATCTTTGTCTAAAGTGATCTTTCTTTGCATAAATAAGTTGAATTTGTTCCAATTCTGCATAAATAGAACTATAGTTGGTTGTTGAACCAGATAAGATTTTGGCTAATTGTCATATCCCTATATAGTTTGCATGTATTTGAATATGCTTGCTATGTTATAGCTAATTCGTGATGAAGTGTAACTGGGAGAGCTTTTAATCTAAAAATATATATTTGAAAGGTTAAACAGATTGCAAACTGTAAAGGACAGCCCAGTCCACGAAACATCCTGCATTCACTCAGGGTCCGGGAAGTGCCGCACCCCTATAATTGCAAACTGTAGTTTGATTTACTCTCTGTTGTTTTCTTGTTTCAAGTTTGTGTTAGCTTGGTGGTTTTTATATGGCTGAATACATAGATGTCTGGTTAAGCTTGTCTGAAATTTTCATTTAGACACCTAAACAAGGGTTTATGCCTATTGAACACTTTATGTTGTCAAAAAATGTGCCTACTTACATGGAAATAAAACAATTAAATTATGACGCGACAATTGAGAAAAAAGATCAATAACAACATACCTAATGTAATCCTACAAAGTGGGATCTAGGGAGGGTAGAGTGTACACAGACCTTGCCCCTACCTTAGAGGTAGAGAGGTTGTTTCCGGTAGACCCTCGGCTCAAGAAAAAACAGTCCAAAGGAGTCCAGCGAAAGAAGTAACGAAAGTACAAGAAACATTAGCTAATAACAAAAACAACAGATAGTAAAATAACAAAAACTACACTAAAACAATATGATATTCAGGTACAAGGAATCAACAGATAGTAATAAAAATCGAAGGACAAGAAACTACATGTGCAATACTATGACTATTAATATGAACGGGCAACAAGACAACATGTTGCTAATTACTTACCTTCTATCCTAATCCGTTTACTCCAGATCCTATCAAAGGTCGTGGTTTTGGTAAGCTGAAACTGCACCATCAAATGTCTAATTACCTCTTCTTGATACTTCTTTGGTCTACCTCTATATCTCCTGAAACCGTCCATAGCCAACATCTCACACCTCCACACTGGGGCATCCATGCATCTCCCTTTCACATGTCCGAACCATCTCAGTCTTGCTTCTTGCATCGTGTCCTCCACCAAAGCCACCCTCACCTTCTCCCAGATATCTTCATTTCTAGTCCTATCTCTCGCATTATGTCTAAAAACACATTGACTGGTCAAAAAAAACTTTCGGTGAAAGCAAAAATTTTATCTTCTGGTCACCTAAACCAATTGCTGCTAAAACCAATCACAATTCCCTTTCCCTTCCATTTTTTCCTCATCTTCAATAATCCGGTATTGTTCTTTCCCACTTCATTGGATTTCTTTAAAGCTTCCTTTTTCTCCCAACTCTCAGTATGCAAGGGTTGCTTCAATTTGATCCATGAAAACCCATTCGGGTTCTATGAATTTGGATCCAAATATCACAGCTCTCTGTGAATTTGGATGACAGAATTGAAGTTTCGTCTTCTCTGTCGAATGTCCTTGACTTCCTCACATTGTGTCATAGTCTGAAGGTAGTCTAAAAATGGTGAAATCTGTTGAGAAGTATGGCTGGATTTTGGAGTGAAAAAACTGTGGTTTTATCCACTGGAAAAAAATGATGTAGAAGAAGTAATAGGAGGAGACCAGAATCTGTTGAAAAAACTTGCCAGATTTTGGAGGAAAATAGTGGCCTGATCTGTCTAATAAAATGGTGGAAGAGAAGAAGAATAAAGAAGGGGAAGGGGAATGGTGGGTGGTGACAGGGATGGTGGCAAGGGTGGTGATGGACGGCGGAGGAGGGGGTGACAGGGGGAGAGAATTTTCTTAAAAAGAAAAATTAGGGCCTTTTTCACGCTAGGTCAAGTGTTCAATAATACATGTTCAATAATACAACCTTTAGTTTAGGTGTCAAAATGAAATGTTCGGACAAGTTTAGGAGTCCGCATATGTGTTTGGCCTTTTCATATTTTAAAGAGAAAAAAATAGTGGTGTTCATATTTAGCTATCCCTTTCCTTTCTGAGTTCCACAACATGGAATCACTGTGCTATTTCCTTTTCCTGTTGACATGAGTATCTTTTAGTAGTTTCTATGTACTCTGTGCATCCATATATTTTATAGTTTACTTAAAAGTCCCAATTATTTTGCACTGGTGTATAGCCTTTCTTTACGCTTTCTGATTATTCCGAGATTGAGCTAATAGTTTTGACCAATTGCTGGAATTTTTATTTGGAGAAAGGTGCATGTGGTTGATGGTTCATCTCCACAACCAGAATATGAATATGAAGCTGTTCGTCTTGAATTGGAAATGTTTAGTCCTGAACTTGCTGAAAAACCTTATTTAGTGGTTTACAACAAAATGGACCTTCCAGATGCCTATGAGAATTGGAAGACATTCAGGGACAGTCTGAGATCTCGTGGAATTGAACCTTTTTGCATGAGTGCAGTGAAAAGAGAGGGTACACATGATGTTATTTGTGCTGCTTATGAGCTCGTTCGTAGAAGAGAAGCTTCTAAAGAAGAAGGTAAGCAATTCTTATGTCTGTATTATGATTTGTTTAGATGTTACCTGTGGACATGACTATGCTAAAATACCATTGATGTTCAGTTAATTTGTTTTGACAAGTGCAATAAAATTGAAAAAATGCTTGTTCTAGCTAAATAAATATTCCTATCAAAATTTGTCCTACCCTTTTTTGGTTGTCCTAAAGTGTGTCCAATTTATAGTAGCACATTTTTTTTTGGTAACTAACCATGTTTTATTACCAAAAGTGACAGTGTACAGCTCAAATGAAAAAAAACAAACAATGAACAAGCCTATAGACAACTAACTGGACAGGCCCAGAAAGTTCTATGCATACTGTAGTGCTCCTAATCACATACTCTCCTAGACCAGATAAAAATTTAAACTATTCAAGTGTATAGCTAGCGTCACATGCATGTTTGCTTGGAAAAATACCTCTTGGACAATCTTCTTCACAATGACTTCCTCATTTCTTCTTGAGCTTTGAAAGACTCTGTAATCAAGCCACAATTCATATACAGAGGCTGCTAGTGTCATTCTAAAGATGGTAACAATATTGCCTTTGCCTTTGCATTCATTTTCACACCATTGGATTTCTTCAGTCCAACTCATGACTTGTTGACTGATACCTTGCCAGTTAAGCACTCTCCTCCATACACATGAGGACACAGAACACTTGAAAAAAATGTGCTCTATGGTTTCCACTTCAGTTTCACCGAGAGGGCATAGGAGGCAAATTTGCATACCCCACTTTATCAACCTGTCTTTAGTGTATAGCCTCCCATGAATAGAAAGATATAATATGAACAACCACTTTGGGAGGCCAGGATTATTGCATATGATTCTTTTCCAGGTGACACTAGGGTGGTCCCCTATCATCTTTTGGTACATCATCTTGATTGAGAATTTGTGTATATTCAACATATCACTTTCACACATACCTGTCTCCTCAATGTGCTTCTGAGCCTTCAATATCTTCTGAATTATCCAACATGCCTGTTTAGGCCTAGCACCCCACAAAGTTCCCGTCTTGCCATAGTAAATGTGGACCCATTGAATCCATAATACATCCTTCTTTCTACACAGGTTCCATAACAGTTTGCATAATGTTGCTTTGTTTCAGACTTGCAAATTCAGTATGTTTAGCCCTCCTGCAACCTTTGGTAGGCACAATTTATCCCAAGCAATAAGTGCCTTTTCATATATATCTACTCCACTAGTCCATAAGTAGTCATGATCTTTTTGGGCAATAGAAACAGTTCTGACCAGTAGATCTGTATGGAGAAAAGTACAGACTTTAAGAGCTGCAGCCTCCCTGCATAAGAAAGAAACTTTGATGTCCAAGAGGTCATTTTCCCTAGTATTTTGTCCAACAATGGTTGACATTGCACAATAGATAATCTTTTAGTGCTCAGGGGAACACCTAGGTATCTTATAGGCAATTCTCCTTTAGGCATACCGAGAAGGGCGATAATCTGATCCTGCGTCTCCTGAGTGACCCCTCCGAAATAGATGGAGCACTGTTGCATATTGGCATGGAGTCCAGAGGCAAGGGAGAATTGACTGGAACACTGGAATAGTACCTGAACTGATTGAAAATCCTTTCTGCTAAATAAAAGTAGACCATATGCAAAGCTAAGCTGTATAATCTTCAATTTAGCACACTTAGGGTGATATTTAAATTTATGTTCGTGTTGTAACGTTTTTAGAGGCCTATTGAGATATTCCATAGCTAAAACAAACAAGTAAGGTGACATGGGGTCACCTTCTTGGCTGCAAATGGGGGAGTGGGTACACCATTAATCATTATAGAGTATGTAACTAGTGAGATACAAGTCATAATCCACTTGACAAACCTATCAGGAAACTGTAGATTGATTAAGATTTGCTCCAGATACACCCATTCAAGTGAGTCATAGACCTTTTGAAGGTCCACCTTCATCATGCATCGTGGTGAGATGCCTTTTCTTGAGTACCCTTTCAGTTCATGACTTAAAATGTCATCTGATATGAGTCTACCAGGAATAAATGCAGACTGGCTACCATCTATAAGGTCATTGATGACTACACTTAGTCTCTTAGTGATTACTTTAGAGATCATCTTGTATAAAACATCGCAACACGAGATTGGCCTGTATCCTCTGATGGTAGTAGGGTGTTTGACATTGGGAATCAGTGTTACTAAGGTACAGTTCACTGGCTTATGCATGCTATTCGTTCTAAAGAAATCCTGTACAGCCCGTGCCACACTATCTCCTATGATGTCCCAGGAATTTTTATAAAAAAACTGCATTATACCCATCATTACTGGGAGCTTTACTGCCATCGATATCTTTTATAGCATCCTCTACTTCTTCATCACGTGGGCCACTAGTTGTAGTTGTTGTTGTCTGCTAAGCACTCGTCCTTTCTGCATAATATCGTTTCTGATGCTAGGAAGCTGGGTGGAAGCTGACCCTAGGAGCTGCTTATAGAAATCAATAATTTCAGCCTGGACATCTTCATCTCTCTGAAGCAATTTACCATCAACTGTTGTTATGTTTTTGATATGATTTTGCGCTATTCTATTCCTCATGCATGCATGAAAGAATGCTGTATTAGAGTCCCCAGGTTTAAGCCAATCAATTCTGGCTTTTTGTTTCATAGCGCTCTCCTCAACTCTATACCATTTTTCAAGTTCTAGTTTGAGTAGCTTCTCTTCTTCATACAACCTCTAATGCTCAGTTATCTGCCCCATTTGGTTTTGCAAGACTTTCAGTTTTCCTCGGAGTTCTGTAAACCCATTGCTGATACCTTGGAACTCTTTTTTATTTAGGTGCTTCAATTCTTGCTTTAGAAAAGTCAGCTTTTTCGAGACCATTGCCAAAGTACTAGCTGTGGCACCTTTGGACCATTCCTGTTGAACTAAATTTTTAAAATCAGTGTGTTGTGCCAAATTTTAAAAATCAGGGTGTTGAGCCAAACAGTTAAAAAACTTGAAAGATTTAGCCCCTTTATTTTGTCTTTCATACAGTGATATACTCAAAGGAGAGTGGTCTGAGAATTCTGGCTCCATAACAATCACCTCAAGGCAGGGCCACATTTGGATCCAAGCAGTGTTTACTAGCCCTTTGTCGATCCTACTAAAAACATGGTTGTTGGTCCAAGTAAAATTTCTTCCCACTGCTTTGAGTTCCATCATACAGACGGTTTGCATGAACTCTGCAAAGTCACTAATTTCATTAGCTTGAACAGTAGAGCCTACAACTCTATCTTCAATATGCAAGATGGCATTGAAGTCCCCCATGATCAACCAGGGGCTTGTCATTGAATTTGATATACCCAGTAAGTCGTGCCACAATTCTTTCCTATCTTGAATGGTATGCAACCCACACCGATGTAAAATAGAAACTTTTGTTTGTGTCATAGATGTTCACCGAACCATGGATATACTGTTCATTAATAAGAATTTCAGAGAAGTCACACACAGTAGGATTCCATAGTAACCATACTCTACCTTTTCCCGTTTGATAGTTACACAGTGCTCCCCATCCAGGAGCTATTTTTGTTATTATCTTCTCAGCACATTTTCTCGATACTCTATGTTCCAATATCGCTATCATGTCAACTTTATTCACTTGTAGAAACTTTATTAGCTCCTTATGCTTATAAACTTTATTAAAACCCCTGACGTTCCATGTAACAACTTTCATCTAGCTAGAGTAGGAAGATTGGTTGGAACTGTACCTCCTTTCCTAAATTGCCCAGAATCTTCTGCATTCTCTTTGGACATCAGCTCCATGTTGACTACAGCAGCCAAAGGGCTAAAGACATTAGCTGTTCCTATAGCCTCATCCTTCCGCACTCTATTAGCGGAGAAGGTGTTTTTAGTTGTTTGCCAGCTTGTGCCTTGGTTTCCTCCAGTAGCTTGGGTAGATTTTGCATCAGGTGTTAGATTCTGTCCTGGAACACCCAGCTCAGACGTACACTCGTTAATCTCATTAGTGCTGCCTGATGAAGCACCCTGATTCTGAGAAGGGGCCTGTTGTATATGTGCCTTGGGATGCCACATTGTTTTTGCACCTTTTGGCTTAACAGCTTCCCTCGATCAACTTGTTGAGTTTGTTTTTCCTCGAGTGGATCCTGGCATATATGTCCTATCTTCAGACACTTAAGACAGTAGCTAGGCTTCCCGTCGTATTCTACCTCTTGATAAAATAGCTGCCCCTCGGGGTCTTGAACTTTGATCATAGTAGGTAAGGTTCTAGTTACATCCATCTCCACGAGGATCCGGGCATAAGAAATCCTTTCGATACTAGTGGTGCATTCATCCGCATAGATGGGACGACCCAAAACACTTCCGATTCGACTCAAGGTCAGGTTTCCCCAACAATTCATAGGTAAATTAGGAAGTCGCATCCATAGTGGAATCATACGAAGTACTTCCTCCCCCAAACTTAAAGTCAGCATTCCATTCATGAATTATGATGGGTTTTCTGTTCATGGTATAAGGGCCCGAACAAAGAACTGTTTCCTTGTCCTCGATGCTGTTAAAACGTACCACAAAGTACCCATCATTGTGGTAATATATTGTAGGTTTTGAAGCAAAGTTCCAGTTGGTAGCAATGAACCTGTTAATAGCACCAATGGAAGGAGATGCTCCTACGACATATAGTATGATAGCTTGCTTCCACTTGAGGGTCTCCTCTGCTATTTCACTCTGTTGAATTTGAGCCACTTTCTACCCTTCAATGATAACAGGTTCAGTGAATTTTAAATTCATCCCATGCGCTGCCATTTTAAATAGACAGAAGTTTCAATGTCCCCACTTTTACTTTTCTCAATACTTTATCCTCTATCTACCTTTTTACCTTGCAAATGTCAAAAATGGGATCCATGTTTCTCAAGAAATGATAAACAATTCATATGTTCGTTTTTCTCTCATTGCTTGAGTTTAATGAAAAAGTGGACTACCAGAATAGAACATATGGAGTAGCACCCAAGGGTGTGTCCTAGTGGTCAGGTTTAAATCCCAACAAAGGCAAAAACACTAGGTGATTTCTTCACATCTATCTATGCCTTGAATTTGATGGACATAGTTACCCAGTACCAGTGTTGGTGGGAGGTAACAAGTACCCTGTAGAATTATTCGGGTGCGCACAAATTGGTCCGGACACCACGATATCATTAAAAAAAAGTAGTATGGATGGAGTAATTAAATTTTGAATGAAGTGTTTTTTTTCTTCCTTTATTTTGTTTTTTCAATGGGGAGGGGAAGGGGGATGTGGTAAGGCAACTTGCACCCTTGTTCCTTGTTGTTTGTTTTTCTTCTTTGTTTACCTTTCCTTTTCCTCGTAAAGGGAGTAATCAAGTTGTGTACCGGTCATCAAGGATTGCTTCAATAGATTTGCTAGGACTTGCTTCTTTCTTTGTGAATGTGACATGAAATGAGAGTGCTTTCTGCCTACTTCTATCTGGGTAAACTCCTAGATTTTTTTTTAAAGGAAATAAAACAAGAGTGTTTATCAAGAAATAAAATAAATAAGAGGACGAATGTGATGGTTTCCGCGAGGAGATTTTCTACTGTGTATTTTCAGCACCAAGTTTCATTTATTGCTGTAAATTGCATGTCAAATTTAGAAAGAGGTTGGAGGGGTTAATAGTGCTCAGTTCTTTGATTGTATTGGTTTTAATTTCTTGTACAGTGAGAAGGGACCCAGTAAACTTGAACTATGTTGCTGACATGGTGAAAAAGCAGCGAAATGCTCCCATAAATGAGTTTGAGATCTCCCATGATAGTTCTTCCAAAACTTGGTATGTTCAAGGATTAGGTCTGCAACGTTTCGTCCAAATGACAAACTGGCGGTATGGATCTCTCTGTTCTCTGATCCTGTCTTCTTTTACATTCTTGTGTATTGCCTTTTATCAAGGGACTTTTCCTTCTATTTCTCTTTGGATTAGCATTCCTATGGAAACAAGTTTTGGTTGTAGCTAGTCAACATTTTCAAGTTTGAGTTGAACTTTTTCTAGTGGTCTCATGTATCATCCTAAATTTAGGTGTTTGGAGATTTTATGTTGATAGATGATAGGGATTTCTGAAGTCTGGTCCCGTCCATTTCTTTGCTTCAAGGACCTGTTTTAAATCAAGTTTGTTTGATATCCTCGAGCTTATGAAAATTACATTGAGTTCATTAAAATGGAATCTTGTTCTCTGTGCAGATATATGGACTCAGACAGAAGATTTCAACATGTTTTGGAAGCATGTGGTGTGAATAAATCTCTGCTCAAGCTTGGCGTGAAAGAGGGTGACACCGTCGTTGTTGGAGATGTATGCCTATGCTTCATTGCTTCCTTATTCCTAGCTTATCTTAGCCTCTAGAGTGCATAATTGCATCTTTTCCCGTAATTTGCATTGAACTTATTTGCTGATAGCTTCTTATTCTTTTACTTAAGTTCGTCTATTCAAAGCTTACCATTACTACATTTAGCTTTGTGTAGCATGTCATAGTAAAAAGCTCTTGATATCTTCAGTGATATGTTACCATAGTTGAGTGAAAAGGAATTCTTGCGATACTCTCTCTTCAGCAGCATAATTTTCAGTTTTTGCTATATGTGTGCAAGTGTCGGGGATAATATGACTGAGTTTTGCATCATTCTTTGCCAGATGGAGTTGGAGTGGCATGATTATGATAGTGCAGGCTCTATAAGTAGGAGGAAGTGGTCTTCAGAACCAAGTCGATAAGTTCATGGTTGATCTTAAGAATATGCTGCTAATCAAGTAATCGTACAAAAGACTAAACATCCTTGTTTGTGGCACATTTCCCAGCTCTTAAACTAGAGCTGCTGAAAATCTGATTATATTATACATCTGCACTACGGAAAAGACACATGTAAGTAGTATAATTTTGTTCAAGATATTGCTTAAATAATCGTTTCCTTTGTGCTAATGTGAATTATAAATTTAGGATTGTTATAAACTTATGCTTGCTTTCTGCGTAGGTTCGTGCTCTCAAGTTTCAAATAATATAATCACGCCTCCAATTTAGCAGAGCATTTTCGATCAAAACACCTTACAGAGCTGCAAGAGGAATTGAGCTGGAAGATATGGTACGATCTCCCAACATCTTTGGTTCATGCCATATTAATGCAGCTTCTGCTTTCTGGTGCAATGATGTGTATCACTCTCCCAGTAGTTAATTTATGACAGTGACAGTGGAGTTATGTGATATTTTATCTTTATACATTTAGAAACATGGTTATGGTCAGTGTGGCCATATAACCGTCAATCCCTAATTATTTGGGACCGAGACGTAGTTGTTGTGGTTACACTTAAAAGTTCCAAATGGACATATATAAGTAAGTAGATAATAGTTGTAATTTTTTCGAAGAAGTTTCTCTTCTAATGTTGACTCTTCCATCATTACTAGAGGATTATGGATCTTATAACTTTGTATTATAATTATTACGTTAGATACACTTTCTACAATGTTAGGAGTCGTTTGGTAGTGTATTAGGAAATATAATGCATGCATTAGGTGTGTATTAGTAGTACCTTGTTTGGTACATTTTTTCTTGCCTTGCATTAGTTATACACTCTATTGTGTATTAAGTTGTGTATTACTAATACCAAGTAATTCTAGGTATTAGTAATACATAGCATTTTAACACTTGCATTAGATTAAATAATTACAAAACTACCCTCAAAGCCTTTTTAAAATATTTCCTAACATTTTCTCCTCTTTTCATTTTCTTTCTTGTCATATGTTTTTCTTTTTATTTTTATTTGTTTTTCAATGTCTTTTAATTTGTTGGTGTCTTAATAGACTTTATGGCATCTCAAGTATCATTTTTTTTAAAAAAACAATCTAATTTCAACATAGTATAATAAAAAAATTTACTATTGTGGTGATAAATTTGATAAAAAAATTCTTTGCCAGCTTTTCACAATTATTTTTTTACTCAAATAATACAACTATTTAATATTATTTTTGAAAAAAAGAAGAAGAGTTAATGATATTTTAGCAAAGAATTTTTTTTAATGTTTTAGCAAAGAACTTTGTTGCAAAGGAAGTGTATAAATAAATAAAGTGTGAAGGATATTTTTGTAAACATATATTTTTAAATAGAAATCATGCAAGATTTGTTATTTTTAATACATCCAACCAAACAGTGTATAAGAAATAATGCTTGCATAACTAATACAAGCATTACTAATGCAAGCACTACTAATGCAAACATTACTAATGCACCCTATTTTGCATTGTTCTTATACACTCTACCAAACGACCCCTTAGAGGACACATGCTTGTTTAAGTACCGGAGAATAATATAGTGTTCGGAAAAAAAATCAAAGAGTTTAGATGGTGGTAGTTGTGGTGGCGGAAGGTAGTAATAACTAATAGTAATAGTAATAATAATAATAAAAAATGGTGTTGGTTGACGATATATTGTGATGACTGCTGGTAATTATTGGTAGTGTTCTGGTAATGATAGTTGGTGGTGATCATGATCGTAAAGGATGTCTAGTGGTAGTAACAATTGACTATGGTGGTTGTGATTGAGGATGATGGATGTGATTGAGTAGTAGGTGGTGGTAGTTAATAATGGTGGATGATGATGGTTATTGATGAAATCGAATGGAGTAGCCAAGTAGTGGTGAATCGTAATACTTGTCAATATTTTTTAATAGACATTTTAATGATGTTGCAACTTTGTTATATATCTTAATTATTTAGACTTGTTAAAGGGTTGTAAAACAATAACAAAAAGATGCACTTAATAATTAAGATATATATTAAAGATATGAATAACTAAGATTCATTACTTAAAATAATTTTTACTTAGTAACTGAAATTTAAATAATTAAAATTAAAATTTTCGTTAAGCGTCAACAAATAAGGTTTTAATCTCACTCCGAATTTCACTTTCCTTTCTCTATCCTCTCCTTCCTAGGTTTCCTATACTCAATAATTGTTTTCACTAGTATATATGTTGCAATGTTGACAGAAGCGAAATCAGAGTTAGGAGTTAGGGGTTCTAAATTTTAAGACAGACGAGAAAAATATTGCAACACTAGTGTGAAAAAAAAAATTTCACTGCCTTTACTTACTACTGAACTGTCAATCATTTTTGTTCTCACAAATTAATATATATATATATTTACTTAATTTTCTAATACAATTACAGCCTTTATGAAAAAGCTAGTTGGTTCGTCCGAACTTATAAATTTCACTATGAATTTAGAGAAATGAAACATACAAACTTACAAAGTATGTCAGGGTATGAAATAATCCCAAGGGTGAATTGATTAGAGTTGAGACCAACAATGAAACAAGGACATGGGTGAATCTATCATCATATAAAATTATTATGCTATGCGCGAACAAAATCTTATATGTAATTTTTACTATTAATAAAAGATTGGGAAGCTATATATAAAGTGTAGAATTTCTCTTTCTTAACAATGTGAGGCCTTTTGGAAAAAATTATGTATAAATTATAGGAACCACATATTATAAGTACTAAATAACACCCTATCCCTTAGGGGTCGTTTGGTTTGAAAATGAGTTATGATGGGATAAGTTATGTTGGGATAAGTTATGTTGGGATTAGTTATGATGGGATAAGTTGTGTTGGGATTATTTTTTATTGAGTGTTTTGGTTTGTTGTATTCAAAATAATAAATTTTAAGAACAATTTATTTGTTTACAAAAATGCCCTTCATTAATGTAAAAAGTGATATAACAAAAGGGTTGAAAGAGACATTTTTGTCATTTACCTATTTTATCCCGGGATAAGTTATCCCGGGATTACTATACCACCCAAGGAGAGGGATAACTTATCCCGGTACTAATTATTAATCCCGGGATAAGTTATCCCGAACTTGCCAACCAAACAACAAAATAAGCGGTACTATAATTTAATCCCGGGACTATTTGTTACTATACCTCACACCAAACGAGCCCTTATAGTTTTCTATTTACCAAAAATCCCTTAAAAATGATGTTTGCGGGATACATAGTGTTGTGCACGGGATACATTAGGTTTGATACATTCCACATAACGGAATACATAGCGTTGTGCACGGGATATATTAGGTTTGATACATTCCACATAGCGGGATACATAGCGTTGTGCACGGGATACATGCGGGATACATAGCGTTGTGCACGGGATACATAGCGTTTGATACATTCCACATAGCGGGATACATAGCGTTATGCACGGGATACATAGGTAAATAAGGAATTTTTGAAAATTTTGAAATAAGTAGGGATAAATGGATATTAAGGTAAGTAAAGGAGTGTCGTTAAGTAATTTGTCCAAAAATTATATAGGCTTGGCCCAAAATGGGATGATATCACACCTTGTTAAGAATATTTTTGAATTAACTGAACCCAACAACTAATATCAAAGATCAGGTCCAACGGGAGGAGTATGGCTAAGGCAGATGAAAGGACGGGGCTCGATGTTGCAAGCTTAGAGAAGCTCACATACAAAAAGAAGCTAGCTAGTTGCAGGCGTCAGCTGCCATATATACTCAGACGATGATGATATCACATAGTGAATCTCAAAATTGACTCGTGGATCATGGTGATGAGCCATGTAAAATTTTTGAGGGGGGAGATTATTGAGTGTGCGAATAAAGTCTCACATTAATAGCTAAAAAGATTTAAAAGCTACATATTAGGTGTAAGATTGGGTGAGGCCTTTTTGCAGAAAATCAATTTAACCCAAAATATACAATTTCACACTTCGTTAAAAATATCTTTAAATTGATTTAACTCAATGTAAATTAATATATTAGTTTTATATTTTACACTTGGGTTAAAAATATACAATTTTTTTTTTTTTCAAATTTCACAATTTTCACGACCACAATCTAATAGTTACGTGAGTATCTTTTGACTACCAAACCGAGTGTTTTTTCATTTTATTTCTACTGTTTAAAGTAAGGGAAACCCTATTTATTTATTTTATATAAAAGCATAGCCTATATGATATTCACACGTATGTACTCATTCATCATTCAACCTTGTCCTTATAATAACTTTATACCTGTTTTTCTGACCATTCATTTCTTGACACGTGTAACATAGTATGGGACCCACTGAATGACATGGCAACAGTGTCCACGTGTAACTGTTCATGACCGTACTAAGCTTACATGGGAAAAATGCTTGATTACGATACTAGAAAAAATAAACTGACGTGATTTGGATTGGTCATAGAATCCGGTTCATTGTTCCTCGTATCTTCCTTTAAGATCTTCCTTTTTCCTATTTAAATCTATAAACCTTAACTATAGACAGTCAGATAACTGTTTTTTATTTATGTACATAGTCAATCGAAAAGTTAAATATGAGAGTCAACAAAAAGAACGTCATCTATTATGTTATAACTTATAAAATAAAAGTTAATATACAAAAATAGTTTTAAAAAATAAAATGTAGTTGTTCTCTACATATTCATATGACATCTAAACAGATTAAGTGGAATACGCGTGCAAAATACACCTGGTTAGATGACAAAAAAAATACACAACAAATATCGGCTATAAGGTAATATTAGTGAGATACGACTAATAAAAAATTTTCATTGATCATCTTCATATGTTCGTGTGAATAAGAGATATATATGATGATCCACATTGAACATTCACAAAAAATGTGCAATATTATTTTGTGCTAAACTTATTATTCAAATCTTCGCTTAAATTTTCTGAATTGATAATTAACACTTAAATTTATGTAAAGTTGAAATGGACATATATGTTTTACGTGTTATAATACACATAGGACATCACATACACAAATTGTCACATAGGCTACATGTATCTGTTTATTCAACTTTATATAAATTTAAGTGTCTACTTATGTAAATTCAAAGTTTGAAGGCATATTGTCGATAACAGTTGAGCCCAATTAGTTAAAGGCAAATAAAGCTCTTCAAACCAGACTATCAATCTCCTCTAAGAAAAAATTCTTATGTAATCACGTTCAATAAGATATCTATTCTTCTAACAAGGAAAAAAGAACTAGATTTTTCTCCTCATCATTGAAATCCTCCATTTAATCGCAGTGTGATGCTCTCAAAAAGCTTAATTCTCTAAGGCCAAAACGAATAGATCAAGAATTTGACATGAAATCCGCCCATTC